ACACACACACACACACACACACACACACACACACACACACACACACACACACACACAATTTTATTCTATAGCTGGCAACAATTTAGTGCTATGTTGTTAGCTTTTGATGTTTGCTGACTGATTTGTGTTTCGATGACGATTGTTGCGTTTACTTCGGGCTATACTGGAATGCCTGTCCCTAAATATGTCCACGGTGTCTTGGATGATGACAGGAACTTCATTATGGAGTTGTGCAGTAAACACCAAAATGTATACATTTTTTGAGACTCAAATAGCATGAATTTCCTGAGGTATGTGTTGTGGATAACAAAAAGTTAAAGGCAGCAGTTGATCCAAAAGCGAATGGGAGACAGTTGGCAGAGGTTAAAGACAGTTTGATGAAAGAGAGAGTCTGATGATCCAGCTCAGAACACAATAGTGGCTCGCAAACAAAAAGGTGAAACTCTGGCTTAGTGTTGGAGAACTGACGACGAGAAGATGGACTGGCATGAAGGATAAGTGTAGCATCAAGTAGTCCGTGGAGAAAAACGTGGAGCCAGGCTGGGCAGGGAGTCAAAAAAGACAACCAAAATCAAATGGTTATGCACCCAAGTTTCGTAATTCACCCGCCGCAGTCTAATAATTCAAGGAAAAAAACAAATGGAAGGTCCCCGGAAGTGGACTCGCCAAAATAAATGATTAATTCACCCGCCGCAGTCTAATAATTCAAGGAAACAAACAAATGGAAGGTCCCCGGAAAGGTCAATAAATGAGCAAGTGAAAATAAATACACAGAACGAAGAGGGGCTGTGACTAAACATCACAGTATGGCCACGGGGAGTAATACACAATGGTATAATACACGCTTGCGCCCCCTTCTATGGCATTTTATCTAGTTGCACGCCTTTTATAATCCACTCCCGCTCCACACAATTAGTCAGTACCATCGTGAGAGGATATTAGCAAGGAGCATACGTAATGTCACATCAAATGGAAGACATGCATGTAAGGGCTGGGGAAATGTAGCCTCTGTAGATGCTAGTGTGATGTGATCAATAAAGTGATTGAACAACTGAAAAGCAGCATGCAACCCAGGGCTGGTCCAAGAGGATTTTTTTGTTTTGTTTTGTTTTTAATCCACACCAAATTATTTGGTGGGGTGTGAGGCATACTGCCACTGAAAAGGCATTTTTGCACATTTTAATCTTTAAAATATGCTAAATCAGTTTGAAAATCCCCAAATTTGCAGTACCTGTCAAGTTTGGAAACGTCTAATTCAGTGCTTAGCACGCTCGCCTCACAATACAGAGGTCCAGGGCTCTGGCCCTCCTGTGTGGAGTTTGCCTGTTCTCTCCGTGTTTGTGTGGGTTTTGTCCAAGTACTCCGTTTTCCTCTCACATTCCCAACACGTGCATGGCAGGTGAATGGAACACTCTAAATTGTTTCTCGGTGTGATTGTGAGCGCAAATGGTTGTCTGTCTCTGTGTGCCCTGTGATTGGCAGGAAACCAGTTCAGGATGTCACCCCACCTACTGCCCAAAGACAGCTGGGGTAGGCCGAGATCCTCTTGAGGATTTACAGTCCGGATAAAAATTTCCTGAAATTGTAGATTAATACTCACATCATTGACATTATGAAGTGCTATTGATGGACTACTTTGGTCATCAAAACAATATCCATCCAAATGGAAAGCAACAGGTTTTCCAACTTTGATTCGTCAACAGCTTTGCACATCTTGGTATTTTCTCCGCCAGCTTTGTGATGGGGATGATGCTTTATGACCTTGTATTAAGTCTCACTTCACAGCTCTGAATTATAAAGAGTT